CCACTTTGTGAGACTGTGGAGCAGAACAAACAACTCTGCATCTGTATGCTTGTCCACAATGTCCTGCCTCATGTACAGTGGAATAATTGTTTAAAGCTACAGACAATGCAATCACTGTTGATGGTTTTTGGTCAAAAAATATGTAGCCATTTTTGCACTTTCTAGTTTTATACTTATTTATGCAGTGCTTTTTATACGAAATAAATAAAAAAATAAATCAAGTAAAACAGTGAAAACCTCTACACAGAGCTTCCCAGTTCTGGAAGTTATCAGAAATAATTGTCTCCTACTTCCATAGATAGATAAGATAGGATTGCCCACTGGGCAATTTGCCCGAGCCCTTATAAAGCTCCATCTTCAGTTCCTTGTTTCCCATTAGCCTCTAGCCCAGGCATGCACAACCTGTAACTCTCCAGATGTTCAAGCCTCCAGGCAGTGTAGTAATCATTGGATAATATGTTGCCTGTTTAACTCTGTAGCCTGTACTCATCCACATCCATAGCCTGCTTCATCCATTCCAATATGTTCCACCTTATATGACTTCTTGTTGTGTGGCATGCTAGATTCTCCAAAGGACATTGTGGCAAGGGGCAGCCTGATTGGATCCATATTTGGTAAACTACTATCTAGCATAGGGGTTCTCAACATTTTAAGGAGAGGGCCAGTTCACAGTCCTCCAGACTGTTTGGGGGGGGGGGCACACTATAATTTGAAAAAAAAACTATATGTACACTGCATATATCTTACTTGTGCTACAAAAAACATGAAAGAACAATATAACATTTAAAATGAAGAGCAATGTTAACCAACATAAACTTACCAGTATTTCAATGGGAAGTGTTGGCCTGCTTTTCGGCTGATGAGATAGTCAAGTTAATTAGGATTATCATTGTGTAATTTCAGACTTAGGGTGACCTTAAATCTAAAGTTTAGGGCCAGGGCTGGGTAAATGACTTTGGAGGTCCACATCCAGCATGCAGGCCTGGTCTAGCATCTCAATGTGAATAGCATGGGACTAATTAAGAAACCATAAGTCAAGTGTGCACATAGTTGTTTTATTAGTGTCATAAATTTAAAAAATATCAATCTTAATTTTTACCTGTTCCTACTTTTTACTCTATTTCTGTTTGCCACTCTCTGTTTTTTGTACTGTGTATTGGTTACTGTGTGTTTTCATGTAATTTTGGATTTATAACATTAACTAAACACTGAAATAAGGTGAAATGTAACTGTAATGTGTCTGCAGATAAGGAATTGTGAAGGCCTGACATTGTTTTCTTTTAAATACATGGCATTGTCCAATATGTTATAAAACACCAAAACTATCTTAGGCAAGATCAAAAAAATTCAATTCTTGAGTAAGCTACTTTGAGAGCAATTACAGAAAGCAATGGTGGAAATTAACTTGTGGACATTTTCTCATATTTATGTTTACATTTTAACAGCACAATGAACTCTGCAAGACATTATGGAGATTAAGCCTATTCTCCCATGATCTGTAGCAAAAAAAAAAAATTAAAGTTTTCATAGTTTCAAAAAGATAACAATTACATCAATGAGATTAAAAATCTTATTCTTCCTCTCTGCCTCTCTATTCTACATAGATAATAGCCAGTCTAATGCTGAAGATTTCTCAGGAAATCATAGATACAATCTATGTTTTGGGTGACTCACTTTTGTGGCTCCCACAGGCAATAGTTCAACTAGAATAAAGCAATATATGAAATGCACCACACATTCCCATTATTAGCATCAGGTCTAGTGAAAGATTTGAATGAGTAATGGCTGATATGGGAGTATCTCTCATTGTTATAAAGCATTGTGATGTTGAAGCCTCTTCCATAGATTAACTGAGATGTGATGGCACAGAATCTATCCAACAAATGTTTCAACTGAATAGTAAACTAAGCTGATGGGGCGTTTACAGTCCTGTTTATCAGATGCATGGATGAAGTGACTGGTTAACCTGGAATAAAGTTTCACATTTAATAATGTCTCAGCTTTTCAGTATGAAAGTAGTTCCACTGTATCTAGCCTTTGAAGTAGGATTGGTGGTAAAGGCAAGGGGAGCAAGCAAAGAAAATGAAAAGAAGATATTGTCATGAGAAATTGTTTAATACACTTGTAGGAAAAATTGAAGACTGACAAATTTTAAGCTATATTTTATACTATAGTTTAATTTAAGCTATAGTTTAAAAAGACAAAATGCATGAAGGCATGGCAGAACAGTGAACTGAGCATTCAACAAATTCGGACATCAGCCAGGGGAGAGCTTGTAAAGGCTTGGAGGCTTATGAAGAAATGACTTTATAAGCTTCCAGTTCTTCTCTAGCTCATATTAAAATAAAATCCAAACCAAAATATAACTGTAATCTTACCTGAAACCTTCCCCCAAACACTCTTCTTCTAAATAGTGTGCTTTCCCATTTTCAAAATCACAGCCCCTCTCTCAAGAAGACAATATCTGTACCATCACAATGACCTTGAGAAGAGTACCTCTCTACGATTAATTGGGTCTTCTTGCCTGGCATGTTGTGGGAAGTGGCAGGCCTCTGCCTTCCCCTGCCCAGACAGCTATATGGGCTATAATTTAAAACCCAACTGAAGGCCCATCTCTTCTGGTAGGTCTACCCAGTCAACTCTGAATCATGAGTTTTGGATATGCATTCTGTTGCTGTGATGTGTTGATCTTTGTACTCTGATCTGTTTTTATCTATGTTTATTATTGTATGTTTATATGTTTTGACTCTATTTTACCCTGCCTTGAGCAACTAGGAGCAAGTAAGAAATAAAATGTATTATTGTTATTATGGTTTTATTACTACTACTACTACTACTACTACTATATCATTTTCTGTCAATCTCAGCTGTAAAATCAATGAGTAAATATAGCTAATGCTCCAGAGGACAGGATCAGAATTCAAAATGACCTTAGCAGATTAGAGAACTGGGCCAAAACTAACAAAATGAATTTCAACAAGGACAAATGTAAGATACTACACGTAAGCATTAAAGATGAAATGCAAAGCTACAGAATGAGTGATGCCTGACCCAACAACCGTCCATGTGAAAAAGATCTTGGGAGTCCTAGTGGACAAGAAGTTGAACATGAGCCAGCAGTGTGATGAAGCAGCTAAAAAGGCCAATGGGATTTTTGGGCTACATCAAAAGGAGTATAGTGTGTCTAGATCGAGGGAATCATGGGTCTATTTGGCTTTGGTTAGACCTCACCTGGAGTACTATGTCCAATTCTGGGCACTACAATTTAAAAGAGATATTGACAAGCATGAAGGTGTCCAGAGGAGGGCAACTAAAATGATCAAAGGTCTGAAGACCATGCCCTATGAGGAGCATCTTAAAAAGCTGGGTATATTTAGCCTGGAGAAGAGAAGGTTGAGAGGAGACATGGTAATCATGTACAAATATGGGAAAGGGTGTTATAAGGAAATTGGAGCACTTTTTTTTCTGGAAACTAGTGTGCTTTCTCATTTTCAAAATGGACTCGGAGCAATGGGTTCAAATTGCAGGAAAAGAGGTTCCACCTGAATATTAGGAAGAACTTCTTGATTGTAAGAGCTGTTCAGCAGTGGAACTCTCTGCCTTGGAATGTGGTGAAAGACCCTTCTTTTGGGGGACTTTTAAATAGAAGCTGGATGTAAATCTGTCAGAGGTACTTTGTGCTTTTCTAGCATGGCAGGGGGTTGGACTAGATGGTCTCTTCCAACTCTATTATTCTGTGATTCTATGAAATGACTTTACTGGCCCATGTCTTTTTCATGACAACAAAATAATTACAAATCTGAATAGGGAAAAGGCCAGTAAGGAATGCAGAAAATAAATAATGATTTAGAAACATTATATAATTTAGTGGTGGAAACCATACAGATCTTCAATTGTTGTTGCACTGTAGCACCAGGCATCACTCAATATTGGGTATTCTGGGTGGGATTGCTGGAACTTGTAGTTCAATAATATTTGGAGATCCAAATTATTATCTCTCCTGTTATAGATGATTATTTAAAAGGGAGGGAAAAATGACTGGCAGTGTCAGAGAACAGTACCCAAACACCTACAATACATCAAGAGCATAGCACATTTGTTGATCAACACAATGAACTCCATCATATGCCAATTAGTGCCACTGCTAGCCAACATTCCTGACACATTTTACTTTGCAGAAGCAGAGTCAAAACACATGGAACAGAACAAACAGTAATTGATGGAGACTACCAAGTGTTACTTGCATGCAGGGCATTGGAAAAAAAGAGCTTTTGTCACTTCACTCAGATGGTGGTATGCACTCGCCCCAAAATTGCAATCTGTTCCCTCTCAGTGCTTTTGAGGACATGTCTTCAATATCTGTTCAGTATGGGTCTAATGGTTCAGTGTGAAGTCATAACATAATACACTCACATCAAGGGTAGTAGAAAAAAAAGATAGACATGAAAAACAGATGAATGAGGTTGAAGAAATACAACAAGGAAAGTCAAAGAGAACTTTCAACTACTTTTTAAAAGATACAAGAGATGAGAGGACAATGAGTAAAAACCTTTGGAATAGTGTAAGAGCACAGACAAATGGAAGAGGTCCCTAATTATATTTGAGTACAGTTAAAAGCAACTGAGGCCAAAGGGCATAAGGAGCACCAAACCTGTAAACAGAAGGATCTACCACCCAAAAACATTGTAGGAGTATTGGCAGGTTCCAAATATCTGCTGGGCAAGTGCAAAAATGACTCAGTTTTGAGAATCACAGAGATCACAAAGCAGAACAGGGATTGACTGTAACCTACAGGTACTCCCTGAAGTTACAAATATCTTACAAACAACACATGGTTTAGAGTGGGAGCGAGACAACAGAAAGTGAGAGAAATCTACCCCAAGAAAGGAAAATTCACTCCTGAAAGAGTTATCATGGAGAAAAAGTATCTCCACAGAATAAATAATAATAATAATAAATTTTATTTATATCCCGCCACCATCTCCCCAACGGGGACTCAGGGCGGCTTACATGAGGCCAAGCCCAATAGTGCATTACAATAAAATAAAAACCAAAGCAGAAAACAAACAACACAATAAGATTAATAAAACATAAGAATACAGTAAACTATATAAAAAATACAATGAAAAATCATTCACAATCACAGTGAAAATGAGTGGGCCACATGTACAAGATGAAGTAAGATAGGAGTGGAGCAGATTATTTGTGAGGGAAAGGCTCATAAAAAACGGGGTCATAAAAACAGGCCTTCAAACAGGCAGGGGGAAGTGTACTATAGGAACAAACATTGAGGGGGAGCAGCAAAGTATAGTTGTATAGTTACTTTCCAAAAGAGCAATGGAAAAGCCAAGTTTTGAGAACCTTCTTGAAAGTTGCTAAGGTGGGGGTTTTATTAACAGTCTTTGTTTCTACAAGCCAAAATAGAACTATCACTGGGACAGAAAGTGAGTTGAAATCTTCTGAGCAGGGGCACCGACAGCACAACAAATGTCACAGGGCTGTTAACCCTTCCCTATGGTATCCATATATATATATGCTGTATATTTGGCTGGAGTTACATTTAAAAATGTAACTGTTCTGACTTACATACAAATTCAACTTCAGAACAAACCTACAGAACCTATCTTGTACATAACTTGGGGACTGCTTGAATTTCCCTTCTTTCTATATGACAATCCGAAGAAATTAAAAGCTTTGCATATTGAGTACAATCTACATGGTATATTATTGTCAAGATGCATATTAACATTTTAGCCCTCCCCTCTTTTAGAAATGTTTTCACCATAGCCAGTAAATTTGCATGCGATACAAGAAATGCAAACAAGTTTTTATTTTTATTTGGACTCAAAAGCAGCTCACCTTTTTATAAACCATATCTGAGAAATAATTCTTGCCACTCCTTTAAAAATACTGAATATTTTATTTATTTATTATTTTATTTACTTTATTTTTACCCCATCTTTCTCTTGATATGGGGATTCAAAAAGCTATTTATTAATTTTAACAAATTTCTGGACAATTCCTTCCATCTTTTTCATAGTAAGGAAGTTTTTCCTAATTTTGCCAAAACCTACATTTTCTCAGTTGAAAAAAAATCGACAGTATAGCAACCTATTAAGTAGAGATGAGATGAACAATTGTCTTCCTTCTACCTCTTGATATTAGCTTAAATATTTCAATATATCATTCCAATATTATTTTGAACATGCCTATTACTTCAAGCTCCCCTCAAGCGACTTTAATGTTAACATCTTATCATTCTCATAGCTCTCATCAGAATCATTTCAATTTCTCACCTTCCTTCTTTAAATGTGGTACCAGAACTAAAATCCCATGTATCATGACTTTCCATTAGCTGTTCAAGCACAATATCAGTAATAACAATCATTCTTCTATCCCAGCATTTTCCCAAACTACAAATTGGTTGTACTCATTTTTATTCATGCATATTGATCATTGCTCTGAAGAGTTGGCAAACTATATACTAAAAACATATCATGAAAGACATTAAGGCAAAACAGAATGGTGGAAAACATGATTTTAAAAGTCAAACTAAATAGAAAAGACAGTAAAATTTTCAGATTTATGATTGTGTAAACCATCATGCTGTTGCTGAGGTTTTATGATATACTGTAGCACCAGAGTGTGTTGGCATTAGTAAAAAAGAAGAAGGGATGGATGGAGGGGGGCCAGCATGCCCAATATATCAGCCACAGGATTTTTCTACTTTTGTTTTCCGAGGGCCTTTCTACACATGGACAAAAAACCAGAAGTAACTGGGTTAAGGGGGAGAGTGGCTGAATGACATTTAGTCAAAGCGTGGGAGGGATTGGGAGGAACTGAGTTAACAGCTGAAAAGCACATCTTAAAAAGGTGCACTTGCAGGTGTCATTGCTTCATTTAGAGGACAATCTATATTAATGTGAGCTGCCCCAGTTATATGTGTGTTTGCTTTATGGCTATGTAGCCAGATACGATTATATCCATACAATATTTTTGCCCAACTGTAAATGTGTACGTTCTAAAATGATTTTTTTTCCTTGTGGGTGGCTTCTCTCATATCCCCGCATGGGGAGCTGGAGCTGACAGAGGGAACTCATCTGCGCTCTCCCCGGATTTGAACCTCCAACCTGTTGGTCTTCAGTCCTGCCGGCACAAGGGTTTAACCCATTGCGCCACCGGGGGCTCCTACTTAAACTGATGAAGCAACTGGAATCCTGGAAACAAGGTTCAATCAAAGTGTGACCCTGTAGTTGGCAAATAATGCACTACAGAAGCAAATGTTACCCATGCAACAAAGGTAAGACTACTGTAATAATGAAGTGGGTGGATGTCTGAGCCATTACCACCTCGGCTAAAAGAAGTGTTAGGTGATGTATCATAGGCAGTCCAGGTGGACATGTTTTCTCTGAAGAAATTCCTTTGTTTAGAAAATGTGCTGGTATTATGCTGATTTCCCAACTCCCTGAGATGCTTTATAAAGGCATCCAAATTGAAAAGTATTATTAGTTGGAGGTTTTCTTCCCCCCTAAACCATCTTCAAAGAATATTGGCTTATGAAGGCTGCCACTTTTCTTTTCCTTCCTCAACACCAAAGGAGAATCCTCCCACTGATATGTCTGACTTATTATCTCTTTACTAAGAAATGGAAACAATAGAACTCCAGCTTAGATCTTTTTTTAAATACCTTCAATACTAAAAACATGTCAGAATAAAAATAAAACCGCCTTTGCTTTGGGGGGGGGGGGGCTTTCTTGCCTTCCTGGCAAAGGTGTTCTAAAGCCTAGACACAATAATCAGGTTCAGGAACTTTAAAAACCCACATATTTTCTGGCAAGCTGTCAGAGATAGAATCATAGAATCCAGAGATCCCAGATTAATGATTGTTTACTGCTTCTGATTGATGAATTATATTATGTTAGTGATCTTATCCAGGAATTTTCTATCTCATGATGTTAAATCTGCCTTAACCAATCTAGCTTATATTTTTGTAATGCAGGTCACGTAACAGTAATATTGTATAATGACCAGGTGTACAACTAATCACTACCACTAGCAAGGGTCTACCCTGAATCCATAGGTGGAAGCTTCTCCATCAACATAAATTGAATTTGTCCATATGTACTCTTATTCTAAATACCAAGATTGAACATCTCTTATACAAAATGCTTGGGGCCAGAAGTGTTTTTTTTCCAAATTTTGAAATACTTGGATATACACAATGAGAAATTTTGGAGAAGGGGCTTAAGTTTAAACACAAAATATGTTTAATGATGGTATGTATAAGTTGTATTAAGAAGGTAGATATATGCATATGTCTTTTTCAAAATACCATGTACTTTCCTGTCATAGATATTGGCTCTTTTTTTGGAAAAAAAAATTGTTAACTATATATTCTGATATTAATTCATTTATGCTTCACATTACCTTCTTGAAGCTTAAAACTAATTTTACACAATGATTTTAACAATTTTTGAATGAAATCTGTGTACACTGGACTATCAGCATTATGTCAACCATCCACGTGGAAATTTTGGATTGTGAAATATTTTGGATGTCATAATTTCATATAAAGGATACCCTAACTGTAGTTATATATACTTGCTTATAGAGCTAGAGTCATGCAATACACATATATCGTTGTCCACTCTTCATTAAAGCCCAAGATTTACTCAACACATAACAAGATTATAACATTATCCTAGAAGCAGGTTTATATTCTAAATACTGGTGCTGATGGCAGTAAATATAAGTTAAAGAAAAATAGTGGTGAAACTGAAAATCAATATACCTTTGTGCCCCAAAGAAACATAGATGATCCCTAAGGTCACTGGGAACTTTAATTTGGCTCAGTGAATGAAGAGAAAGTCAAGTTGAACTTGAATGATGACCCAGTATATCTGGCTTATGTGCTAGGGAAACTAAATGGATAATTGAACATTTCAGCGAAATAAAGGCAATTCTTGGGAAAATTATGGAACGAATTACCTTTGGCACTGATCAGGCAAAAAGTAACTTAATAGTGGTTTGCAGCAAGATTCCAATCTTTTTCTGTTTGATCTTCCTTTAAAGCACAGAAGAAAACACTTGCTACTCTCGATAGCACTTGGAGCAAAAATGTGCTTGCAATAGTTCAGTAGTCTGCTAAACTAAGAGTTACTTATCAAGAAAACTTTAATCTGTAAGGACATTGCCTCAGTACGACATTCAGAGAAGCAGCAGAAATTTGATGTAGTTGAGAACCTCTGGAGGCTACAATCTTTACAGGTAAAGAGGACAGATGTCATTTTAAATGAGAACAATATAGTCTGTGGTACATGGTGAGGTAATTTAAAGTCATGTCTATGTCCTTTGACAGCAAGGTACTATCTATGAAAGCATTGCCACTGACAATAATACCACCTCATTATCACTACAGCCAACTCAGAGAAAAGTCTGCAATATTATTACATGCTTTCCAAAATAATATCATTGTTCATAAGTCTTTATGATTTTAAAAGAGAGAATCCAACAGAATATCTAAGGTTAGAGGAGAACAATCAAATATGGAGATCAACAAGCATAGGAAATATTGTTGTTTCGTTGCTTCTGCTAGAAAAAAAACACTTGCGAAAACATTTTTTCTCTAAAGCAATCAACAATGTATTAATTTATATTCTCTAAACTAGAATATCAACACTACAATCTTAACACTAATTAAGAGACTCAAATCATCATAATGCCATATTCAGGAGTAGTGTCTCTCTGGAGTGGTAGTCCTAAAACAGTAGCCCTACAGTATTGTAATAAATCCTGGAAAATGTATACAATTGGACTTGACCTGAAATTAGCATGCCAGGCTAAAAACAACAAAAAAGACCTTTGGAGTCACTGAAAAAGTAGATTATGTAAAATACAAAAGCTATGCTCTCCTCTTACATCAAATGGCAATGATTCCTTAAAAGAGCTAGTTTGGGACTATGGACCATGCCCTCAAAAGGGAATCAATCACTGTCAAGCCCCAGAGGCTCCTCCCCTTA